GCAAAAATTGTTTCTGAAGTCAGGGTTATGTAAGCATTTAATCTAAGAACATGTTTGTTTGTTTGTCTTTAAATAAAAACATACAATTTGGGTATCACCGAGTGTCCAAAAGAAACAGAGCGTAAGCTGAAAATTTCTGACAGCTAAGATACAATGGTCTGACCCCAGGCCCAGAAGTATAGAAACAGTGGGGTGAAATGAGAAGAATATTGGACACTTAAGGTCAACTCGAGAGACAGTAGGGCCACCATATTTTGGCAGGCACAAAGGATAACAAAGAGATATGTCATCAGGGGAAATATAAAGCAACACACACAGACAAGCTTGCTGTGTGGAGTCAAGACCTTCAGGCAGGAAGAATTCACACCAGAGTGTCTGACTGCTGGGGGACAGAGAGTCCCACACAACAGAACAGCCTTACCTGGACACCATAACATCCCTTGAATTTTCAGCCAGTGTCCATGCTGCCTGGGAGCTCCAGGAGTTGTTGCACACACCTGGAGGGCACCCAGATTGAGCAGGATGCAAGAAATCATATTGTCTCTAATTTTTACATTCCATATGAGTTACCATTATGAGGAAAACCTTAGTAACTTTGCCACGCTTCTTATAAGAAAGCCAGAAATTAGAGCTGGGTGAGAAGAAAAAAACAAAAACTCAAATGAGAAATGCTGGAGTATAAAATTTCTCTTATTTAGTGTAGCTGGCATAATGGCCTACATTTCCCCTTACAAAATATATTGTCTATCATGTATCCTCTGTGAATACAGGCAGAACTTCACACATCCCTGGATCTCTGTGTAATAAGAGATCAGAGTTTGTACTTCTTATTTCTACCCTTCCTGGATGGCTAGAAACAACAGTGGCCCACTTCCCTGAAGGCTTTTTTACGTAGGTTCTGATCCTGCCATGTTTCAAATGTCAAAATTCCACCTCAAGAGGTATACCTACAGCTATATGGCCATATTTGGTTGAAGGATGCAAGTCTTCATTCAACCCTGTACCCTGGTTTTACAAACTGGACAACTTCCCCTTATAAAAGACTGCCCATCATGTAAACATAATCCTTGCTTCCTTTAATATAAAAATAAAGACCCCTTCAAGTTGAGCTCAACGTCTGGTGACTTTAAGGAATGTTTATGTAGTTTCTTAAAATTTGTTTGCCATTATATTCTTCCAGGATGATTTTTGACTTCACAATCTAGCCTATAGCTTTGGTATTTTTGGTGGCTTCCATCCAAGTACTAACCAGGACTTGCCCCACTCAGCTTTTGAAGATCAGGAAGGATAGGTAAGTGCTGCCATCTAGCTAGGCTCCTTAGAGATTCAAAATTGTATAATTTATTTGGACCAAGGGTAGGCATACTTCTTTAAGGAAAATGTTGGAGCCTGCAGAGGAGGGGGCATTGATATAGTGATCCGATGTATGTGGGCAGAGCTAGGGTTTCAGGGTTTGGGGGATTAATGTTTTTGATGAACAAAGTTTAAAAGAAGGTATATAGACACATCCCAAAATGGAGTGGGGGAGAACTGCTCTTCCCTCTCTCTATAGCTTTCCACTTTGGGCAGCATTTTTTTAGAATAAAAAAAAAAGGCTGGGGTGGGATGGGGACAACTCTTCCCATTTCTCTGTATGCTGTCTCCTCATTATTCCTACGTCCAGCTTCTAATTTTAATACGGCTTCTTAATTTGAAACTTGGAGTTTGACAGTGGGCTTTTGACAATTCAAGAAACACCCCCCCCCCCGCCATATAACTTTGACCAAGCAGAGACAGAGAAAACAAAGTTCAGTCAATGTGACAGGGGACTTAACCCAATAGATAGCTCTCTTCCAGACTGAAATAGCCTCTTCTTGTTCCTCATGCTCAGAAGTTAGTGAACTAAATAATGGCCTCAAATGTATGTTCTAGCACCACTGGCATGCACTCTTGCATTTTTATTTTATGTAGTAAAAAGAAGCAAAAAGAATAACTTGCATTTATTCCTTTTCTGGTCCCCAGACTGGGGGCAGGTAAACTTTTGTTTTGCACTGATCTGAGTTTTTCAGTGGGTTTAAATGGTTTAGTTGAGTGTTTTATGGCACTCATTTTATTGCTTAAATCCCTCAAAATCCTCCCTGAAGGGCCCTGGGCCATCCATTTTTGGAGTGTGATCTCGATATGGTATACAAAGCCTGGTATGGCCCTCAAGCCACAATAATTATGCAGTTCTGACATAGCACATGTCTATACAACTTTCCAAGTGTATATTCTGCCAGCTAAATTGAAGAGAAACCTTCCCCAAACTGGTGCCCTCTATATGTGTTGGGACTACAATCTTCAAATAATCTTCCAGCTATGAAAGAGATTAGCAGATAGATATTTTCCTAACTGGTGCATAGTACACAGTTCAGCCTTTCCTTAGTCTGGCACACCTCAAAGGTAATGGGAGTACCAGAATTCCCACCTCCCAGAAAATGGCCATGCTGGCTTAGGAATTCTGAGCTTTGTACTCCTCATACATCTGGAGGGCACCAGGTTGAAGACTGTACTATGTCATTCCAGGTGTTAGACAATTCCTGTTTTTATCCTACTAGCTGGCCAAAGGGGGACGCGGTGGCGCAGCGGCTTAATGACTCTGAAAGTTGCCGGCCAGAAATGGT